GAATGAGAGAAGGCAGGGTGATTTAGGGTTGATAATTAAATTTTTGGAGGAGTGGGTGTATAGAAATGATTTTTTATAATATTATTATTAATATTTAATTAAATATAAAAATTTGTATCTATCTATAAAATATCTGATTATTGAACATTACAACTTAAAATCTGATTTTTGAACTTAGATCTTGAAAAGTTGGGGTCCATGTAATTTCCACTCTCTTATTCATATGACGCATGCTTGAGAAATCCACTAAGGAAAATTTAGTGTTGGGCTTCCGACTGCCGGCCCAAGTTTACCATTAGACTGCGCTCAATTTCAATATAGGTAATAGAAGAAATTTTGGGCCAGCATAGCATGTTGTGAAAATTACACTTAACCACCTATTTAAAATAAAGTATTCATTTTTTACGTTACACAATTTTATTCCTATTTTTACTAAAAAAAATTAGTATAGTTAATGTTCTCTAATTCATTTAATTCCTAAATTATATCAAATCAACACCGCTAATTCCTCCACGTGAATTAACTCTCACCACACAATTCTTCAATTGTCACGCACCCTTACCCAATTCATGCCCACTAATACCGCCCAAACTTCGCACCATATTAATTTCGTATAATTATATAGAGTAATGCTATTTATCGTCACTCGTCGTTATTCTTTCGTAAATTAAACGTGGCCCAGATGTAAGAGAGAGAGAGAGCACTCTCCATCACAGTGTTCTGAAATCACATGTTCCTTTTCCTAATTGCCAAGCAATCTCTCTCCCTCTCTCTCTACAAAAAGCAATAGCAAAACAACAAAATTCTAAAGCATCAAGGAGAGAGAGTGGAGGAGAAGAAGAAAAGGGAAGTAGCCACTTCCTTGGTGGGGCTCCTCCTTTAATTTTTTTTCAAGATGAAGAAAACACAACAAAACATCAAAATTCTAATGCATCAAGGAGAGAGAGTGGAGGAGAAGAAGAAAAGGGAAGTAGCCACTTCCTTGGTGGGGCTCCTCCTTTTATTTTTTTTCAAGATGAAGAAAACACAAAACCCAGTTGTAAACTCTACAGAAATGTCCACCGGACCCACCACCACGACGGCCCCCGCCGCAGCCGTAAATGGTAATCATCACAGCCACCACCATTACCCTCCTACAAGCTCATCCTCTTCCTCCGCCTCCTTCCGTGGCTGTTGCTGTTGCCTTTTTCTCCTCTTCTCGTTTCTTGCTCTATTAATCGTTGCTGTTATCCTTGTAATTGTACTGGCTGTAAAACCGAAGAAACCTCAGTTCGATCTCCAACAGGTGGGGGTTCAGTACATGGGCATCAGTCCCACCACCCCTTCCTCTGCCGCCGTCTCCCTCACTATCCACATGCTATTCACTGCCGTCAATGACAACAAGGTCGGAATCAAATACAGTGAGTCCAAGTTCACTGTCATGTACCGCGGCATCCCTCTGGGTAGGGGCATCGTTCCCGGATTTTATCAACCCGCGCACAGTGTCCGGCAGGTCGAGACTACTATCTCCGTCGACCGGGTTAGCTTACTTCAGACTGATGCTGCTAATTTGATAAGAGATGTTTCGTTGAATGACCGGGTCGAGTTGCGGGTCGAGGGTGATATCGGTGCTAAGATCCGGATTCTTGGGTTCACTTCACCTGGTGTGCAGGTTAGCTGAACTCAACTTGGTTCAATTATTATGCAATTCTTGCTCTTTATTTTATTATTTTTCGTGGTTAATTCTTCGTCTTTAAGTTTTTCTATATCATCTGCTAACGTGCATTATGACATTGTAGACTTTGCTAAAAGTGTGGGGACATTTGGGACCTCGGGATGTAGGTGGTAATTTTTATTTTTTACTCGTTGTCTAAATGAAGACAAATGATTAATCTTAAATAAAATTCTCATTTTCCTACTGTGCCTTTCGATTAGATTAGGTAAAAGTAGTTGTTTGTAGGGACGAGTGATGGACTGAAATGTCATTTTCCCATTAAATGGGGCTTGAAATTAACCATAGCCCTCGAGTAGTTTTGTTGTATATGTCAAGTTTTTGCCTCCCCTTGTATTATTTGGGCCAGACTGCGCACATATGATCGAGGTATATATATCAGTATATTTTGTGTATCAAGAACAAAAATATGCCGACATGCTGCAAAAAAAATTCTCTAGTTGAGAGAGGGATAGAGAAATGGAAGGAGAAAATGTAGGGCTTGCTTTAAAATTTTGATAGAATGTTTCTTTGCTTAGGTTTCACGTTACTATCAAAATTCGTGGAGCAGGGATCAAGTGACTGTGACAGGCACACGAGTTATTTCTTTTATTTTGTGCCCTTTTGGAATCGTCAAGAGCACGACTTACACTAAGGATCCGTTTGATTGCGATGGTGGAAAATTGGTGGAAAGAAAATGAATTGCAAGGAAAGTAATTGCCTAGAAATTGTTAATTAAGCGTGTTTGATTGGTATAATTTTCCACCCGAAATTTTTTTGAAAATTTGGATTTTTTTGTTCACGTTTGGCTTTATTTTACATGAAAATTGTCTATTAAAGTGACAATTCTATCCATAGAATTTGACTTCGTTTTACATAGAAATTGTCCATTAAAGTGAATTTTTTTTTTTTTTTACAATTGGTAATGAAATTTGTTTCCATTGCTTAATAAACTATTCCTCGCCGTTTGATTGTGTATAGGAAAATTACATATTCTAACATCAATGCATGAATACAGGCGACGTCTTTATTTATTGCCAATTATTTGAATAATTAATATGGTGTTAAACTTGAGTTCTTGATAGTCTAGGCGGTTTCGGTTAATGTGTTTCTCTATTGGTCTATCAGTGGTGCCAAATTTGAACTTATTGTGTTAATGCCATGTACTTTGTTATTAGTTGTGTAAGAGTTGCATCTTGTTTCCACTTCTCTGAGTGAGAATTTGTTGGGATGGGACAAGATCAAAAGTCCACATCGATCAGATTTGGGGATGGTGTTGTGTTCATAAGCAAATTGGACTACTCTCGAGACTCCAATTCTCTACAAAATTGAATATAATGGGAGTACCGAATTTTCAAACCCAAACAGATGAGTTTGGATTACATTCACTTATATTTTATATCTTGCGGATGTTCAAGAACTGACTTGAATACGTAGGAATATACATCTGATGAACAGCAGTTGAATGCCATTAACAATCTTTGATCCTCAAAATCATGTGGTTATGATAATTGATTATTATATTAAGAGTTTGCATTTGTACATTATGATTGCAATGGCTGATTATAATCGTCACCTCACACAAATTGTGAATGTGTGGCAGGTATCGGTGGATTGTGCGATAGTGATCAGTCCTAGAAAGCAAGCTGTAACAAGCAAGCAGTGTGGATTCGATGGCCTCAGTGTATGACCCGTCCGAAAATGCCATATCCGACTCTCCGACTCTTTTTAAATCTCTTTCCTTATCTCTGTCTCTCTTTAAGTAGAAGGGGCGATGGAGAACTTACCAAGTGAGTTCCCACGGCCAAGCACATGGGGTTGGGACTGAATTGTTAGAAAAGCAAAACCCAAAATTGTAAAACAAATTGTAGAAAAGTTGAGACTATTGTTGGCCTTAATATATTTATAAGGAGATTTTTGCAGGTTTTTGAGTCTGATTGATGTGTTCCCATTCCCACCCACTCACATTGACTTTAATGTATTATTATTATTGCCACTTCAGAAGAGAATCTGATGCCATTACCTTTTTAGTTGCAGTCCCATTCTTACTACTGTGTGATACTTTTTTGAAGTTGTTTTCAAGTTAAAATTGGTTTTAAATGATGAATTGTACTCGCATGCGTAGTGGTTCGAGTGGAATTTTCTAATAATTTTCATAGGTTCAATAAATCTTGTGTGAATGTTGTTTGACCTTCAAATTCTGCGGATTCAAATGTCTATAGATTCCAACTACTCTTTTGTTCATGTGCACGTTACCCACACTTGAACAACACGTTAAATTGCACAAGAATGTAGCTCCAACGGAGTGCGGCAGTCGAGTGTACATTGAAGCTCAAGTCAATTGACGGAATATATTTGGGTGTTAGAGAGACGATAGATGAAAATATGGATGCTCGATTGAAGATTACTATCTTTATCTTAGAGTTCAACTATGACACTA